CTCCACAATCATTGTCAACAATGTCTACGTGGTTCAATGTTCTCGCCCGTGTAGCTGATGTAGGTAGAATCCCAGACTCCCCATATCGTAATGCCTATATGAATTCGAGGAAGATAGCAGTGACGTCACAGCAGGAGACAGGAGCTCTTGTATCGCATTCTATGGTGATCTGTTGGACGCTGGTCCAGCATATATGATTCGCGGTCAGGCTCGGCTTCCAGGTAATGACGCGGCAGAGCCGCCTAAGGCAAGTATTCTCTCTCTCCTATGAGGCTATGTCTCCGCGTAACTCGCGCTTTCCTTTGTACAGCGGGAGTTCCGCGTCGATGTCTCATACTGTGTCTGACACGTTTACTCCAGGAAGAGTTAGTTCCACATCCCTCATAATGGGTGATGGCAGCAGGAGGAATATAATTGTTAATTTTGAGGTTCCCGAGCGCCGAGTCTCGAGACGGCCATTCCATGGTGGGACCTTTTGCCCCAGGTGGTTTGCAGATCAAGTGCCAAGCGACTGGAACCCTTCCGGAGCCTTCTTCTAAGCGCAGTCGGAAGCCGAGTCAGAGAGCGATGGAGATGGTTATTGCAAATGACCTACACGAATAAGCGGCATCCTTTGCTTTGGCTCTTTCTATATATTTAGAACTGCACTGATTCTAATTTTCTTTAGTTTATGACTTCCCTATGCTCGGCGCACGTAACATATCATACTCTGTAATCTGGCTGTGCTGTCCCATGCTTTCATAATGTCGGGAGGTCGGCAGCAACGATTTTATAGCTATAATGCCGCCTCTGTCGAGCAACAAGACCGCTTGCGCATGATAAAAATCCCTGTCCGATCTTTTTTCAACGATGATAGTCATGCCCTTTTGGAAACTTTTTCCATTAACACGCAAGTCAACCAACGGAGCCGGCTTCCCCCAGGAGATACCACCGGCGGTCATACTGCAACAGACGATGACACTATTACTATTGATACTGCAAGTCGAAGCAGGGACGAAGATGCCGAATTTGGCTGGGCCAGACCTCGACGTCGTCGCGTGGAGACGGTTTTTGCGGAGGCAGCGCCACGATTCCGAGGGATGAGGAAAAGATTTAAAGACCGCTGGAACAAGGAGTTCCCCGACACGCCATGCACCGAGTGCGCAACGTTGCTCCTTCCTAGAAAGCGCAAACGGAGAGCATTCCAGGACAACTACGAGTACGGTATCACCAGAGTCTTCGGTATTCCTGTGACCGGCGAATCCCGTGGCGTGATTCTTTGCGAGCAATGTTTCAAAGAGCCTCAAGCCCCTATAGACTGCGGCGAGGTCCCTCAATGCATTGCTTCTCTCCCACGGCGATCGACTCTGTTCATATCCCCCTTTAAGCTGGACACGAATCTAGGGAGGACTTCAGGGTACAACTTACACACAACCCCCTACGTGTACCGTACTTTATCGGGTGTCAGGGTGGCGATCAACTCAA